TTCCCAAAAACAGTTTAATGTGCATGCAAGGATAAAAAACACTTTATTTGTCTTATAATATGCATTTATTTTTAACTGATTTGCTCAACGACTCCCAAATGATTCGTTCGACGATTCATTTTCCCAAACACCTCCTTTGAGTGACGCGAATCTGCGGCGATTGGTCAAATGACCAATACATTTTGTTAAATGTCCTTAAACAGAAGTGTCCTTCCCTTTGTTCAGAGACCCACTCTCCCACATTCTGATGTGTCAAAGTCTTGTAACTCGATACTCATTGGACTAAGTGGATGAGTGTGGGTGTATGTGTGTGCGTGTGTGTGTGTGGTCAGGAACAGTCTCATCCAGCCACACTGCGGCTGATGTCCCTAACTCATTCCGTCCAGTCCTTACACTATCCTCACTGGAGTTGAGTCTTTGAACAACAGAGATTCACAGTCAACAGACCGAAGGAGAGTAGCGTCCACACCACCTCTTCTAAGACGAGGTGACCAATGAATGATGACCGGAGGCTCCCTATTCATGTTAGTCACAGGTACCAGCCACTTATACGCAGGATCCCAAAAGCGCCGAAGCTCATACTGATGACAATCCACGTCAAGATCTCCCAAAATCCAGCAAGGATCAGCATTTGGAAACAAAGCCCTTAAAGTCTTTATTTTAACCAACAGACCACCTTGTTTGCCATGCGTCTGAACTGCTTCTTCCTCCCGAGAGACCATGGGGTCTGGTAGAGATAGGCAGGTAATCCACGCCAGAGCAGTGTTGGTGGAGGGGGCGAGTTGTAGAGATGTTCCAATACCCTTTTTCCCTTCCCAATACCGATCCCGATACTTGGACTCAGGGTATCAGCCAATACCGAGTACTAATCCGATACTTGGGTGTGATCTATACAGCTGCAATTCATACTAGCACTGTATTTTTATTATCTGACATACATTTCACAGCAATATATTATTTATTTTTCTTAAGTGAAAAAGAACTTCAAATGCAGCCACACACATCAAATACTTTAAACTGGAAAATGTATTTTAGATTTACAATATTACTGTATAAAAAAGTGCAACAAATGAATCTAGGAATCTAAAAAATGATATATGAATAATATAAGAAAAGAAGATCTTTATAACTTAAAGTCCAGAAACAATTTTGTTAAATAAGTTTTTTTTTCTTCGTTTGAATGAGGCTTCTAGAGATTGATTCTGGCGCGGCTATCGAGTTGCCATCGTGGGACAGGCACTGGGACAGTGAGTCAGAGCCTCGAACAATATCAGGAAGGCTGTTCCAGGGTTTTGGAGCTAAATGCGAGAACGCCCTCCCTCCTTTAGTGGACTTAGATATCCTAGGAATGACCAGAAGCCTTGAATTTAGTGATCTTAAGGAACGCGGTGGATTGTAGGGCGAAAGAAGGTCCATTAAATACACAGTAGCTAAACCATTTTTAGGTCAGTAGTAGAACTTTGTAATTGATACGGAACTTAATAGGTAACCAGTGTAGAGATGATAGAATCAGTGTTATTGTATTTTCTTGACCTAGTAAGAACTCTAGCGGATGCATTTTGTACTAACTGTAGCTTGTTTATTGAGGATGCAGGACAACCGGCTAATAAAGCATTACAGTAATCTAGTCTTGAGGTCATGAATGCATGAACTAACTTTTCTGCATCTGAAACAGATAGCATGTTACGTAGCTTAGCAATGTTTCTAAGGTGGAAAAAGGCTGTTCTTGTAACATATGAAATATGATTTTCGAAAGACAAATTGCGGTCTAGTATAACACCCAGGTCTTTATGTCACTATGCATTATGTCACTTCATTTCTCTAAATTAAATTTGTTCATCATATGATATGATTGTGTCTTTTCAGAAAAAAATGTTTTATAAAAATAAAAATAAAACCTGGATCTTGAAAAGTTTTGTTGCACTTTCAATTGAGGGCCAGAAATCTCTCGGACCTCATTAAAAATTTTTTATTTTTGTTTCAAAGGTAATCTGATGGGTCTGACGAGTTTAAAATGACATGAGGGAGAGTAAATGGTGACATAATTCATACATAATTCATGGTTGAACCATCCCATTAAGATTAGTATACTCCTACTTTAACAAGCTTTGTTTGTGTGTATGTTTTGTCAATGCATAGGTTGGACCATGGTGGACATTTCAGAAACAAACCAGGACTGAGAAAATGTGAGTCCTCTCATGCACACACAAGCACACACCTCTCCATATTTAATGATGTCATAGTTGTACTGATCTGTTGTTCTGTGTTCAGATGCCTGTGGTCTCACACTGGATTTAAACACAGCACACACTCAACTCATTCTGTCTGAGGAGAACAGAACGGCGACACACAACAAAGATCATCAGCCGTATCCTGATCATCCAGAGAGATTCGATCACCGGGAGCAGGTTCTGTGTGGAGAGAGTCTGACTGGACGCTGTTACTGGGAGGTGAAATGGGGCGGCTCGGGTCATGTAGCAGTGACATATAAAGGAATCAGCAGGAAAAGTGGGATCGGCTGTTGGTTTGGACTCAATGAGAAGTCCTGGAGTCTGTACTGTTCTGATATGAATTACACTGTCTGGTTCAATAATATCAGCACTGACGTATCTGGCCCTTCAGCCCGCTCTAATAGAGTAGGAGTGTATGTGGACGTGTCGGCCGGCACTCTGTCCTTCTACAGCGTCTCTGACACACACACACTCACACACATATACACATTCAACACCACATTCACTGAACCCCTCTATGCTGGATTTGGGGTTTATCCTGAATCTTCAGTGTCTCTGTGTCAGATTTAACAACCTCCTGTGACGAACGCCAGAAGCATATTCCACCTCAGAGCAAAACACTCAAAGGTTAATATGATTGTTTATCTCGTCAATGCAATTTTCTCACAATTGTGACCAATAAATAGTCAAAATTATAAGAAATAGATTTGCAATTGTGAGCTATATTCACAATGTAAGAGGTTACTTAATATACAATTGCAGTGTGAGATATGAGAAGTAGTTGCAATTCTAAGCTTTAAAGTCAGATTGTAAGATATAAAAACACAATAACAAGGGAAGACACCCCATCAATGAGCTTTGGAGTACAACTTCACAAGTGCAAAAAAGTGATGAGATTGGTCAGATTTTCTAATATGTTGGTTACAGTGACGTGCGGTCTGGGTAGGCAAACTAGGCACTGCCTACCCTGCCAGAATAAAAAAAATAAAACATTTTCGTAAATAATAAACGTGTATTTGTATTTTTACTGTTTATTCTTATGATTTATATATATACGTTACACCCCTGAAAAAGGGGAGAAATAATCACGAGAGTGATAGAGTCAGATTTCCTCACTGAAAACTTTAGTGTTATGTTTTTGTAACAATAATACATTTTACAGATCTACAGAAAATAGTAGCTTTATAGGGCTTATTCAAGTCACAATAGCATACTCTGTAATTCACTGGAACATAAAGTAATTTTTCCAATATAACAGCTGTCAAGCAAGCACAAAGTAGTTTTAGCTCAAAAAACATTACTACATTTACCAAAAATATCAATAAAGTGCTTGAAACACATTGTACAAATAACACAGCAAAATAGATTATTAACTATGTATCTGTTAGTTAACAATTGACATAAAATGGCGGCTGCTCTCATTACGAAGCTATTTTTCTCTGTAACCGAGCGAGGGCTTCGCTCACACATGCACATTGTAAAGAATATAGTCTGTATTATTTCATACAAAGGGCTGTAGAAACGCTCAACCTAATGAAAACTCAACAGAGCTCAAGGGGCGAAGTCAAACGGTCCAATGGGCCAGACATATGATCTATCTGAAGCTCTAGCGTCAATCAACACTTTAAGTAAAACATGCTATCAGAGAGAGACCAACCACTCTACCCTGAGGTGGCTAATAGCCCGACATAGTTAACATAGGCTAACATAGTTATCGTTCTGGCCATCTAACAGGGAACTTCAGGGCCCTGATAATCCAAAAAAGTTATCATACCTTTTTACCTTGGCATGGCCCCATAGCTCTATACAGGAAACGAGGTCTGTAAAGAGAAACATATTATTTTTTAACCACAAAAAATACTCTTTAAAAGACCAGCAGCTCACCTGCGGCATGCGAAGTGAAGACTCACCAGACAGCTCTTCATGAACATGGGGTCTACCACCTTACATACCTGAAAGAGGCATTCTCACTATTACTAACCAAGCTGAGGCGGGCCATCAGAACATTGTTCTAACCATGAGCCCAGCCTCAGGCCTGATGTAAGAAGCGCCTAGGGAGTCGGGGAAGAGATATAATCACACGCTCAGGGAAGATGATCCATGACTAAATAACTATAATTAATAGTAGTTCTTCAGGAGGTATGACAGAATTAATTAGCTATTGATTAACTAACTGATACTTAACACAATCATAAAATTATATTACATACTAATTAGTTAACACATCTTCCTTAGTAGTTAACAGTAGTGACTTAAGTGTTAATAAAGAATTACTTATTAGTTCTTCATTAATTCCTTATTTGTTATGCAGTAAGTAAGATACAGTATTCTAAAGTGTTACCGTGTCATTAATATTTTCCCTCGATTGTGCAGTGGTTTTAATTGTATTGCTTTTTTATTCTTTACTGTGCTTGATGTGAGATGATCAAATGTATGTGACTGAATCACTATGACGTCATTAGGTTTCTGCAGTGAAAATATCGTGAAATGATCCGATCAGGTGAAAATGTCTCTTTAATGAAACATCTGCACTGTGTAACACTGGGTTACTGGGTTTCTTCAATAACTCTTTGTGAATCACATGCACTCTTATGTTGTAATTTTAGACCGTTTTAACTGTAGGTAGGTCAGAAGTAACACACAGTACTGGTAACAGACAGCAAAAAGCTATTATTGAATAATATTTATAGTAATACTTTAATTCATACGGTGTGTTAAAGATATCTGAGGATGTGACGATGCTCTGCACCACTAGATGGAGAATGACTGCTTTTCTGACGGAGGGAAATGAAAGTAAAAGAGGATGAAAGGTTATCAAAGCCAAGGCTTTAACCGGTTTGATCTGCAGATATAAACGCCGCATATTTCGGTAAGTCCAAAACTTATTCTTCATTTAACCATGATGTAGTCATAAATATGAGCTTCTGTTTTTTCCTGTTTTGTTTTTCTTCCTGAAATGATATTTTAAATCAGGATAATTATATTTTGATGTGATTTCTGGTTAAACTCTTATGTCCATACAAAGTGATCTTTGACCAGCTTTGATCACAATAATAACTAAAGCTAAATTACTTTTGGAAGTTTTTGCTATAGTATTTTAAACTGTCAATATTTTCAGATCCTACATTCACGCACTGATGTAACAAAAAAAGTTTAAATTCTGTTATGCTCACCACATTCATATGAATATGAATTAATTTAAACTAATTAATATCTGACCTGCATATTACTATATATTTTCATTCATATAATGAATGCCATCTGCTTATATATCTTATAGCCTCTATAAATTGGGGTTTACCAACAAGTGGAATATGCTAATAAACACTAATTGATATAATAACATAACTGAATAAATACATAAACACAAGACAGAAGTTCTGTAAATATCTGCCCAATCCTCTCTGATGTCTTCATTGCCCATCATTCTGTGTGTGTTTTGCTGTTCTTGAGGGTCAGTTCCTCTCCGCAGATGATGTGGTTTTGGGCATGTGACAGCGTCTGTCTGGGCAGAAATGAGACTTCTCTTTCGTTTATTAAAGTAAAAGCAATCGTGTTTAGGATGACCAAAGCACAAGAAGACAGGAATACAGAACCCTGATCCCCAACAGAACCATTTCAGCTTAAGTGTTCGTGGGGCGGATATGGTTAATAAATACGCCTTTTAAACAACCATCTCTGTTTATACTAGAATTATCTATAATTTTACTTTATCAATTATGAGAAAGATAATGAGATATCAAAGGAGTTGCAGTTTCCAAATATACATGTTGGTTATATATGTTGGTTACAGCTTGTTAACTACAGAACAACTGTGTTTCCAAATTAAAGGAATCCGTTTCTCAACACTCATTTGTAAGAGTAAGCAAGAGTTGAAGGACAGTGGCTTTAAAATGAGTCTCCAAGTCAAGAGAGATGAAGAGGACACTGCCTCTAAAATGAGTTCTCCATATCCTGGATCAAGCTGTGTCTCTCTGAAGAGTAATGAATCCATGACTGTGTCTAATAAATTCAGTGATGGATCCATGACCTCTGACCCCAGGTAAGACACTAGTGTTTAAAGAGTTATCTCTGAGCACTTGATTGAATCCTGTTAATGCAGCACTGTCTCTCTTTAAAACTATTAAAAATAAAAAATGGAGAAAAAATTAAACTTTTTCTCTGTAGTCTGTGTACTATTGATTACATTAAAGGGTCATGAAACCCTAAACCCTTCTGATATTTTAGTCTTCTGAGACAGAGTGTTGGACACCATTGAAGACAATGTTAGCATCTTTTAGATTGAATAGTTTAATAGTAATCTGTTGAATTTATTAGCTTTTTTTCCCGCTATATTTGTCTTCCGTGTTTAAAATCTTCATTTTGTCCACGTCACAGGCTGTAAGTGCCTTGATGGCTCATGAATCAAGGCAAAATGAAGGCAATAGCCATGATATGGCTTTTGCCTTCATAAAACAGCGCAAGACTTTAAGAATAGGCATTCATTTTGTGCTGGGTGTTTTAGAGAAACGTGTGCACTTTGCTCACGCGATCAGCATGGTTAGGCTATCTGGTGTTTTCTCCTAAATAAAAGCTCAAGGGTTTATTTCTTGCAAGCGTAGAAATAAGGACAAAAGTATTTTTGTCGGGGAGCAGTCAGTAAGACATAAGATTATCTTTTAAAATCGATTGAACACGGAGCAGTTTTTCCTGTGAGTGAGACTGGAAAACCCATAGTTAGGGTTGCCACCTTCAGTGAGGCAAAATAAGGGACACCCATACGCGAGATAAATAAATAATTCAATTAATTAAAAAAAATGTGTCAATGGTATGGAACTATTTATTTTAACTTGACAGCTCAACAATAAACCAAGAGAAAACATGTGAGCTTGCAACAGAATTATTATATTATTATTTTACATTTTATTATTTTACTTATTTAATATATATATATATATATATATATTACAGCATATAAATACAGCAGCAGTGCCCTATGTTTGGCCGTATACCAGTAGCCCCACAGGGGAGCAGCAGTCAGGCTGCAGCCTAGGAATAATAAACAGAGATGAACTTTAATATCGTGTCATATAACGCACGAGGACTGCGCCTTGGTCACAGTGAAGCAGACAAATCGCGCCGCCTAGTAGTGGACAAGCTCTTAGAGGCTTGTGATGTATTATGTGTGCAAGAAACTTTTTTAGCAAAACAGGATTTAGAAGGTCTAAACTCCCTGCATAATGACTTTTATGGGGTGGGTGAATCTACTACTGACCTGAGTACCAGGATTGTTTATGGTAGAATACCTGGTGGGGTTGCCATGTTGTGGCGCAAAAAATATGATCAGCTGGTTAAGGTGCTTAGACTGGGTGTGGATTGGGCCATAGGAATTGAGTTTGATTGTGGGGATAAAAACTTCATTATCTTAAACATTTACACACCATATGAATGTTCTCAAAATGAAGAGGAATATCTCAATAGGCTAGCGTGTGTTATGTCTTTCATACAAGATAATGCCTCTACGTGCTGCTTTATTGTGGGGGATATGAATGCAGATGTTTCTGATGACAGTGCTATATTTGCCAAGCATCTAATGCAGTTCTGTCATGATAATGGTCTAATTCTTTCTAGCAAAGTGCTTTTGCCTGACATCAGTTACACCTACATCAGTGAGGCATGGCACACGACTTCATGGCTAGATCACTGCATTTGCACGGCTGATGCGCATGATTCTATAGAGGCTATAAAAATTAACTATGAATTTGCCACTACTGATCATGTGCCTTTCTCTCTATCTGTAAGTCTAGGCAGTCTACCTGCTTTTGTGCCTGCAGATAACATGTGCGTGGGGAACATAGATTGGTCTAACCTGAATGAGGAGGACCTTAAAAAATATTATATCCAGTCTGATGTCCTGCTGAATAATATTGAATTACCTAAAGTATCAATGGCATGCTCTGATATTAATTGTAAGAACCCTCAACACGGTATTGAGCTATGTACCCTATATGAGAATATTGTAAAGTCCCTTCTTGTCTCGAGCAAGCCCCTGGTTAAGACACACAGATTGTACAAGGTCAAGCCAGGGTGGAATGACTATGTAGAAGAGACACATGCTGAGGCAAGAAGAGCCTTTAAGGCATGGGATGAGTCAGGTAGACATAAATGGGGTCCGTTATTCGATTACAAGAAACAGGCAAATGCAAAGTTTAAATATGCTCTACGGTACATTAAGAGGAAGGAAAATATAATGAGGTCGGATTCTTTGGCAAGGAAGTTGCAATATAATAGTCCTATTGATTTCTGGAAGGAAATTAAGAGAATGAATAATTGCAAAACATCATTACCAACGAACATTAATGGTGTCAATGGCCCTGACGAAATTATTCAGCTATGGCGGAAACATTACTATGAGCTGTTTAACTGTGTTAAAAGTAAGCTGTTTACGATGGGTGACATTGATAGCAATGAAGATGTAACTGTCTTACCTCAAGAAATCTATGATGCAATTGTGATGCTAAAGGATAATAAGGCATGCGGTAAGGATGAGATATCTGCGGAGCATTTGAAATTTGCAAGTAGGAAACTCTGTCCCCTAATTGCTATTTGTTTTACTGGGCTGCTAGTCCATGGTATTTTACCTGATTCTGTTTTATCTGTTATATTAGTGCCTATCATTAAAGATAAAGTGGGTAAGATTAATAGCATAGACAATTACAGGGCCATAGCCCTAGCCAGTGTTTTATCCAAAGTCCTGGAGAGAATTATATTGAATAGGTTGGAACATTTTGTTTTGACATCTGACAATCAGTTTGGCACTGACATGTGTATTTTTGCCCTGAAGGAGATTTTAGATTTGTATAATAGGCATAATTCAACTATTTTTCTGTGTTTTATTGATGCCTCCAAAGCCTTTGATAGGGTAAACCATGAGAAGCTATTCTACAAATTGTACAACAGAGGGGCCCCTAAATATCTAGTGAGAATCTTGGCCTTCTGGTATGCTCATCAGTCTTTTTTTGTGAAGTGGGGTAATGCTGTGTCTGCCTCATTTAATATAGCTAATGGAGTTAGGCAGGGAAGCATTCTATCTCCCTTTCTCTTTAATATCTATATGGATGATCTATCAAAGCTGTTAAACAGCTGTGGGACAGGCTGTAGGGTTGGGGACACTGTTATTAACCACCTAATGTATGCGGATGACTTGGTCATTTTTTGTCCGTATAGTGCTGGTCTCCAACAACTACTAAAGGTCTGTTCCCAATATGGTTTGGACTTTGACATTACTTACAACTCTAAGAAGAGTAATATAATGATTGTTAGAAGCAGGGAGGATAGTAAACTCTCATTTCCTGCATTTTATCTGTCTGGTACTCTACTGAAAGTGTGTGATGAGGTCAAATATTTGGGACATTATATCACTGATGACCTGTCTGATGATAGGGACATTCATAGACAGTACTGTATGATATATGCACAAGCTAATATGTTGAATCGCAAATTTAATATGTGCTCACTTTTTGTAAAGATTAGACTTTTTAAAGCTTTTTGTACTCCGATGTACACTGCTCACTTGTGGCGGCGTTATAAAAAAAAGTAGTCTGCAGAAACTCAAGGTGGCATATAATGATGGGTTGCGGTTGCTGCTTAAATTGCCACGAGGGGGCAGTGCGAGTCAAATGTGTGTAAGTGTTAACGTATCCACATGTCCTGCTGTACTCAGGAATCTCATGTACAAATGTATGTGTAGACTAGCAGAGTCACATAACAGCATCATCAAAACACTAGTGAATCCGGCATTGAGTGCTGTTAGGTTCACTTCTGGTTTGTGGAATCATTGGCGTTTTAGTTTGTATGTTAACATTTGAACACTTTTTTGTATGTATTGTAGAATACTGACTGTGTAGTCATTTTATAGAACTCTGTTCTTTTTTCTTCCTTTTGTTATCTCTCTCTCTTTCTTCTTTTTCTTTTTAATGCACTTTGTAATATTATGGTATATGTATAGGGCTATGGACCATCTTGTGTGTCCTGAATAAAGATTATCTATCTATCTATCTATCTATCTATCTATCTATCTATCTATCTATCTATCTATCTATCTATCTATCTATCTATCTATCTATCTATCTATCTATCTATCTATCTATCTATCTATCTATCTATCTATCTATCTATCTATCTATCTATCTATCTATCTATCTATCTATCTATCTATATATATATATATATATATATATATATATATATATATATATATATGAACCAGTAATCATGTTTTTGACAATTCTGCATGGATGGGATATTTTTATTGTTTTTATTTACTCACATTGATTTTGAATTTCATTTTGAAATTGTTATGTAATTGTTTGTCTATTTTTTAATGTAGCACTTGTAGCACTTTTAAAACTTACTTTTAATTGCCATAAAGTGTATTACAGATATGACCATAATTTAGTATGCATATATGATTAATATTTAATAATACCAATTATAATGTATTTATTAATCTGTTTAATAACATTAACAAATATAATAGTTGTCTACCAAGCTCTGACAAATGTATGGAATACTATATTAATATTATATATTTATTTTTCAAAGAAAAAAACAACAACAACAAAACGCATGTTCTCTAGACTTGTCACTATGGAAAAAAAGACACTAAAATGCATTCATGCGCAAATTAACTACTCTACTTCTTCTTGTGAAATTGATTTTATTATAATTACTATTAGTATTATATATAGGCTACTGTAAAATCCTTATTTGTTTATTCAACTATGTGTGGGTCTATGTAAAATTTTTATTATTGGTAAGAAAATCTATTTATGTATTTATTTGTGTATTCAGACATATTGTTAATTCTATAGTAGCCTATTAAAGGATGAAATTCTCTAGGTTTTTATTTTCTCCACAACATGCCCATTTTTATTATTACATATGTATTAAATATATATCTCTCTTATTTCTAATTATAACTTATTTAGGCTACTCATTGCCACTGACACTTTCCAGCCAAGTATTTGTTTCCTCCCACTCTCGTCATTACTTTTGCACACACTTTCGTTTCAGAGGTGGACGCATTAAGACCCTCCCTCTTCTGACTCTGATTGGCCCTGAACCTGATGGTATATTAAACAAACCAATCAAACCAACAATGGCAGCGAATATTACCCAATCAAGGGTAGAATAGTTCGAGTCTTCACAGAATGCGGGTGGCATGATTTGCATGGGATCATGCGTTCGGAAATACGGGACAAACCGCGTCCCGTATTGATTCAAAACGGGACGCGCTGTTTACTTCACAAATACGGGACGATTCCGTATTTTAAGGGACGGGTGGCAACCCTACCCGTAGTGGATGTAATCGGAGTGATAACAGAACGCTTAGAGAGCAGAGAGGAGTGTGCTTTGACTCCAGTCCTGGTTTTGCGTCCGCGCCGTTAGGAGCTCAACATGATCTGTCTTGCATGCACGATCGCTCTAGACTAGATTAGAGGATATTTTAGCTAATTTGCGGTAAAACTAGTCGATCACGAGTGGCTCAACTGGTGGATTTATAGATAAACTCATCTTTCAGGTATTTTGCAGACTGGCTTGACACTTTAGCGTGAGAAATCGGGGCTGTGGCGTGAGAGCGTGAGAATTGGCTCAATTGCGCGAGTGAGAGAGTTAGGGCAGCCCTGGTGCCTTATACTTATTAATGAGACTGAGTTTTCATATCCTACTGTCTCTTAATTATTCATGACACCACGTGGACCTTTCCAATGACAGACATGCCAAACTGTGAGATCGCGCAATAGATGAGAGAGGCAATCATGGGACGCAAGTGTTTGTTTTCGTGGTGCAGAAGTTCAAGTGGGTTGAATATGTTCCCAGATGCTGCCAGGACTGGACACTGGCTCTGGGCGGCTGGTTGGCCATCAACCACGGACACATCTAAACATGATCTAAACTATAGTGTGTGCAGCAAACATTTTTCTCTAGAGAGTTTCGAGAACTGGAGAATGGTGGACTTCGACCTTATTGACGACCAATGCGTCTTGAGAGGAATGCGGTACCAAGTCATCGTTTTACCTGCCTTTTGTTAAATAAGCATTCGTTATTCAGTTAATTGTTGAATGTAATCGGTATCGGTATTCGATAATACCTCAATTGTATGCTTAATTTGTGTAATTAAATCATATATATGTCATTGGGGTTCAGGGGAAGCGTATATCTAGGCTATGCATGGAAAGTTTTTTTAAGAGGAAAATTAAATATTTTCAAGTATGTGCATTTATAGTGAGTATAAAGACAATGACATTAATGACATTATAATTATACATGTAGCCTACATTAATATGTTTTAAATAGAATTACAGTTACTGTAGGCTAATATATGTAGCAGAACATTCAGTTACTTTTGAAAGGATAATAACCTTTGCAGGCTAAAAAAAAAATAAATAATAAAATCTAGCATTTCCTCATGTTTTACCACTGCTTTTTAGTGACAGTCGATATGCATGGGGCACTGGCGATAACAGTTCCCCCCTCTCCCCTGCCACACCCACACCACACACACTCCTCCCTTCTTCTCACAGCTAGCCACGCCCATTTAAGTTGCATTTTTCAAAAAGATTGTGAGCTAGACTTGAGCTGAAAGAGGGGGGTTTCATGACCCTTTAATCTTCATACTAAGATGTCCTCATCTGAACAGTCTTTTAAACTTGTATTACAGCATTGTGTCAATAAATAATTTTTGTATACCCTCTTTGTACACGAATAAATGTGAATCTGAAGTGCATTCAAGCTATACAAGAGTGTAAAATACTTGTAGCGAGCAGGGCGAGGCTGAGGGCCGTGGGAGAGCGGCGTGAGGCCAGTGGCGTGATTGATAATGATTGACACCTGCGTGAAGCACCGGTCTCGTATCTCTCACTTTTTGTTTTTGTCAGCATCAGCAGCGGACAGGAATCTGGGTCTCTAGAACCCAGCAGTGTGTCTGTGAAGAGTCTCAGGTCCATGGAGTGTCTTTTAGACTTCAAATGTGGAATAGAGCCCTCTGACCTCATGATGGATGACACACAAGCAGCCCTGCTGGTGGAGACTGAAGACCAAATAATGGATGATGAACTACAGAGAGTCAAAGATCAACACAAAACCAGCATGAAGATCAAATATGAGAGATTATTTGAGGGAATCAAACTACAAGGGAAGCAAACCCTCCTGAACAGGATCTACACACAGCTCTACATCATAGAAGGAGAGAGAGGAGGAGTGAATGAAGAACATGAGGTTTTACAGATGGAGAAAACACCCAGGACACAAGACACTCCGATCCACTGCAATGACATCTTTAAAGCCTCTGCTGAACCAGGACGCCAGGAGAAACAGCAGATCAAGACTGTTCTTACTAAAGGCATCGCTGGAATCGGGAAAACCGTCTCTGTGCAGAAGTTCATTCTGGACTGGGCCGAGGGGAAAGCCAATCAGGATGTAGATTTCATGTTTGTGCTTTCTTTTCGAGAGCTGAACTTGATCCGAGATCATCAGTACAGTCTTCACAGACTTCTGCTGGACTTTCATCCCGAACTTCAAGATCTGGACTCAAAGATGTATGAGGAGTGTAGAGTTGTGTTGATCTTTGATGGTCTGGATGAAAGCAGAATCCCACTGATGTTTTCAGACGCTCAGGAAGTTTCTGATGTGACTGAGTCTTCATCAGTGGGTGTGTTGATGTCAAACCTCATGAAAGGAGATCTGCTTCCCTCGGCTCTCATCTGGATCACCTCCAGACCAGCAGCAGCCAATCAGATCCCCTCCAGATACATCCACCGTCTGACAGAGATTCAGGGATTCAGTGATCCTCAGAAGGAGGAATATTTCAGGAAGAGAATCAGTGACGAGCATCAAGCCAGCAGAATCATCTCTCACATCAGAAGAGCAAGAAGCCTCCACATCATGTGCCACATACCCGTCTTCTGCTGGATCTCCTCCACTGTGCTTCAGAAGCTCCTGGAAGAAGATCTGAGTGCAGAAATCCCTCAAACTCTGACTGAAATGTACATCCACTTCCTGCTGATTCAGATCCACATGAGGAATCAGAAGTATGAAGAGAGAGATCCAGAGAAACTCCTGCAGTCCAACAGAGAAGTGATTGTGAAACTTGCTGAAGTGGCTTTCCATCAGCTGATGAAGGGCAATGTGATGTTCTATGAGGAGGACCTGATTGAGAGCGGCATAGATGTCACTAACGCCTCAGTGTATTCTGGGATTTGCACTGAGATCTTTAAGGAGGAATCTGTGATTCATCAGAGGAAAGTCTACAGCTTCATTCATCTGAGCATTCAAGAGTTTCTCGCTGCTTTCTATGTTTTTTATTACAATTTATGCACTATTATGGAGAAACTATCCTTTTTTGAGCTGCATAATTTGCTTACAGCAGCAGTAGATGGAGCCATAAAAAGTGAGAATGGACATCTGGATCTGTTCCTGCGGTTCCTGCTGGGCGTCTCACTGGAGTCCAATCAGAGACTCTTACAGGATCTACTGACACACACAGAGAACAGCTCAGAGAGCATCAGGAGAACCACACAGTACATTAAAGAGAAGATCAATGATGGACATGGACTCTCCACTGAAAGATCCATCAATCTGTTCCTCTGTCTGCTGGAAGTGAAAGATCAGACTCTGTCCAGAGAGATTCAGGAGTTTGTGAAATCAGATAAACACTCAGAGAAGAAACTCTCTCCTGCTCACTGCTCAACAATATCCTACATGCTTCAGATGTCAGAGGAGGTGCTGGATGAGCTGAACCTCAAGAAATACAACACATCAGATGAGGGTAGAAGAAGACTGATACCAGCTGTGGTCAACTGCAGGAAAGCACTGTAAGCATTTAATTATCAATGAAGATTCTGGTCAAAACATTAAAACAACAAGTAAAATCTTAAGTAACACACACACACACAGACACACAGACACACACACACACACACACACACACACACACACACACACACACACACATATATATATATATATTCACATCAACATTTTTTTTCCATAGACTTGCTGACTGTAATCTCTCAGATCAGCATTGTGAAATTGTGGCATCAGCTCTTCAATCCTCAAACTGTGTCCTGAGAGAGCTGGATCTGAGTAACAATGACCTGCAGGATTCAGGAGTGAAGCTGCTCTCTGATGGACTGAAGAGTCCAAAGTGTCAGCTGGAGATACTGAGGTGTGTAAAAAAAACGTCAACACAAAAGTTTAATCACTGATTATGTTTATTCTCACTGGTTATATTCAATTCAAATGAGTTTTCACATATTCAGTCTTTTGAATTGAATATAACCAGTGAGAATAAACATAATCAGTAATGATAAGTAAAAAATAAGTCAGACTGAGCTGATGGTGGCACTGAAGTTTGATCACAAAGAACAATTAATACAGTTATTAAACCAACATAACCTCACTATTGAAAATTGTGTCTGTGGATTATCAGTCTGTTGTTGTGTGTGTCTGTAGATGATCAGTCTGTTGATGTGTGTGTCTGTGGATGATCAGTCTGTTGATGTGTGCATCTGTGGATGATCAGTCTGTTGATGTGTGTGTCTGTAGATGATCAGTCTGTTGTTGTGTGTGTGTCTGTGGATGATCAGTCTGTTGATGTGTGTGTCTGTAGATGATCAGTCTGTTGTTGTGTGTGTCTGTGGATGATCAGTCTGTTGATGTGTGCGTCTGTGGATGATCAGTCTGTTGATGTGTGTGTCTGTAGATGATCAGTCTGTTGATGTGTGTGTCTGTAGATGATCAGTCTGTTGATGTGTGTCTGTAGATGAACAGTCTGTTGATGTGTGCATCTGTGGATGATCAGTCTGTTGATGTGTGTGTCTGTAGATGATCAGTCTGTTGTTGTGTGTGTCTGTAGATGATCAGTCTGTTGTTGTGTGTGTGTCTGTAGATGAACAGTCTGTTGATGTGTGTGTCTGTAGATGATCAGTCTGTTGTTGTGTGTGTCTGTAAATGATCAGTCTGTTGATGTGTGTGTCTGTAGATGATCAATCTGTTGTTGTGTGTGTCTGTAGATGATCAGTCTGTTGATGTATGTGTCTGTAGATGATCAGTCTGTTGATGTGTGTGTCTGTAGATGATCAGTCTGTTGTTGTGTGTGTGTCTGTAGATGATCAGTCTGTTGATATGTGTGTCTGTAGATGAACAGTCTGTTGATGTGTGTGTCTGTAGATGATCAGTCTGTTGATGTATGTGTCTGTAGATGATCAGTCTGTTGATGTGTGTGTCTGTAGATGATCAGTCTGTTGATGTGTGTGTCTGTAGATGATCAGTCTGTTGATATGTGTGTCTGTAAATGATCAGTCTGTTGATGTGTGTGTCTGTAGATGAACAGTCTGTTGATGTGTGTGTCTGTAGATGATCAGTCTGTTGATATGTGTGTCTGTAGATGAACAGTCTGTTGATGTGTGTGTCTGTAGATGATCAGTCTGTTGATGTATGTGTCTGTAGATGATCAGTCTGTTGATGTGTGTGTCTGTAGATGATCAGTCTGTTGATGTGTGTGTCTGTAGATGATCAGTCTGTTGTTGTGTGTGTGTCTGTAGATGATCAGTCTGTTGATATGTGTGTCTGTAAATGATCAGTCTGTTGATGTGTGTGTCTGTGGATGATCAGTCTGTTGTTGTGTGTGTCTGTAGATGAACAGTCTGTTGATGTGTGTGTCTGTAGATGATCAGTCTGTTGTTGTGTGTCTGTAAATGATCAGTCTGTTGATGTGTGTGTCTGTGGATGATCAGTCTGTTGTTGTGTGTGTCTGTAGATGAACAGTCTGTTGATATGTGTGTCTGTAGATGAACAGTCTGTTGATGTGTGTGTCTGTAGATGATCAGTCTGTTGATGTGTGTGTCTGTAGATGATCAGTCTGTTGTTGTGTGTGTGTGTCTGTGGATGATCAGTCTGTTGATATGTGTGTCTGTAAATGATCAGTCTGTTGATGTGTGTGTCTGTGGATGATCAGTCTGTTGTTGTGTGTGTCTGTAGATGAACAGTCTGTTGATGTGTGTGTCTGTAGATGATCAGTCTGTTGTTGTGTGTGTCTGTAGATGATCAGTCTGTTGATGTATGTGTCTGTAGATGATCAGTCTGTTGATGTGTGTGTCTGTGGATGATCAGTCTGTTGATGTATGTGTCTGTAGATGATCAGTCTGTTGATGTGTGCGTCTGTGGATGATCAGTCTGTTGATGTGTGTGTCTGTGGATGATCAGTCTGTTGATGTGTGTCTGTAGATAATCAGTCTGTTGATGTGTGTGTCTGTGGATGATCAGTCTGTTGATGTGTGTGTCTGTGGATGATCAGTCTGTTGATGTGTGTGTCTGTAGATGATCAGTCTGTTGTTGTGTGTGTCTGTAGGTTGTCAGGCTGTATGGTGACAGAGGAAGGCTGTGGTTATGTGTCTTCAGCTCTGAGTTCAAACCCCTCACACCTGAGAGAGCTGGATCTGAGCTACAATCACCCAGGAGATTCAGGAGTCAAGCTGCTCAACGACAAACTGAAGGATCCAAACTGCTCACTAAAGATACTCAAGTATGGGGGGCAGTGTAACACATTGACTTGTGTGTGTCTGTGGCAGGAGTTTTCAAACTGGGACACTCATCATGATTCCTCCATGTCCATGCCTATATTTCTTCCTTTTGGATTCAAATATTGGCCAGGATAAATATTTACGTTTGTTACGATTCATATTTATAGATCAGATTTATTCTAACATATAATAGTGGTTTAAAATGTTATATAGGTGAGCATAAGGTGAACTTTTAATAATTATATTGCATATTCTCTCTAATAATTTGTCTCTTTCTAGTTTGGACCTTGGAGGCTATTTCAGAATCACGGCAGGACTAAAAAAATGTAGGCCCTGTTTCTCATTCTGTCTTTCATACTTATTTAACAGTGTTATGAACTATTTTTGACAAAGATGCCTTGTGTTCAGATGCCTGTAATCTCACACTGGATCCAAACACTGCAAACACTTACATTGAGCTGTCTGAGGAGAACAGGAAGGCAACATATGTCAAGGAGCCGAAGCCGTATCCTGATCATCCGGAGAGATTTGAGGGAGGTGAACGGGTTCTGTGTCGAGAGAGACTGACTGGGCGCTGTTACTGGGAGGTTGAATGGATCGGCTGGGGTCATGCAGCAGTGGCCTATGAGGGAATCATGAGGAAGGGAGGCAGTGACTGCAGTTTTGGATACAATGACAAATCCTGGAGTCTGGGCTACTCTGATAACAGGTTCACTGTCTGGAACAATAAAAAGCGAACTGACTTATCAAACCCTTCTCCCATGTCTAATAGAGTAGGAGTGTATGTGGACGTGTCGGCCGGCACTCTGTCCTTCTACAGCGTCTCTGACACACACACACTCACACACTTACACACATACAACACCACATTCACTGAACCCCTCTATGCTGGATTCAGGGTTTATAATTCTGAACTGTCTCTGTGTCAGATTATACAACAAAGAGACAAACTCTAACTTTTACACACTTTATAATTAAATCCATGTAAATGTAAAGTATTACAAGTAAGCCTCTTGCCTGATTTTTTTTCCTTAAACCTTTTATGATAATAGAGTTTCTGTGGCAAAGCTTCTGCATTGGCTCTCGCCTTGCCCTTTTTCAATTATTCCACTGCTTTACTTGCAAGGAGAAGAGAAGAGCATGCCGAAAAGAGTTTAAAGAAGGTGATTGGGAAAAGCTTCACAGGTTCGGCTATTGTTGTGTTTCGCTGGGATCTGAGAGAGTGTTTGGCTTTTACAGTCATTGTATATTTTTTATTCACAGTATTCACACTCATTATTACGCACACTTGAATATGTATACCAACTCCTACTCCTTAAAACTACTAAAGCCGTCTAATGAGTAAGCAAGAGTGAGAGTCGGCACATTAAATACTTAAAAAAAATGTCATTTATTAATCAAATTAAACTGTATGTGTAAACTCCAGAGTGATGAAACCTAAAACAAGCTATAAGCTGCATTGGCATAACAGTATCATGTATGAAATGGACAAAAAGTTGTAAAATAAATAAAAAAAATAAAGTCATGTGGCTGTCTCAATTTCATTTCAGTATATTGTCCATAATCACCTAAACAAACAAACACATTTTTGTCAGGTCCCATAAATTCACTATTCACCCCACAGATTATAATAAACAATGAACAAAACAAGAGTACTGCCAGCTGACTCACTGTTATTGTTGACAGATGGTGGTTATTAACAAAATAATGTTCTCAATTTCAGTAAGACTGCAGGTGGTTTGCAGTGATCAGCGGCCGAGAGACCTCCAGAAGTTTGCTGAGGAATACAGGTTTCAGCGTGACATCATCATCATGACACACTGTTCCTTCGTTGGCCCGAGGAGCAGACGTTTGTCCATTGCCTGGGTATAAAATAAAATACGTGTCTTTATCTCTCTGAATTTACTTGTGCAGAGACAACTGTCACACACACAGTTCATCAGTTATTCATGATAGTGGCAGTACGACACTGTGCTTATGGTGGAGTGAGTGTAATAAAGTAAACTGCACAGACCAGTCTGGGGTGGGAAAGTTAGGAATAGTTTCTGGGGGTTTGTGCCGTGAACTGTTACTAGTTTGAGTCCAGTGCTTATGGGATGGGGATATAGAGGAGTGAACTGCAATACTGCAGGATTACAATAGATTTTTACTGAGAAACAAAAAATGTTTCAAGTGTGTTGGGATTTAGATGATTCATCTTTATGGACTAAACCTCCCCAGCCTTGGAAAAGATCTTTTCACGAGGAACAGAGGATGCAGGGGGACATTAAAGGCCAGTGCTTCTGTTGAGTCCAGATGCGGGAGGATCTCCTCTTTCTTTCTGGCTCCATTACCAGGAAAAAGGAAGAGTCGCAAAAAGCAAACTAATCCAAAAGGGCAAAACAAAAAGCAGTCCAGTCCAGATCCAAACATCCAAAGCAATCCAAACGATATTATCTAGTTCATATAACAAGACAATAAAATAGCTACTATAAAAATTAATAACAATATACTATAAGTTTTCTAACCAGATATAATGTACTAATATACATCCCTAACACAAACAATGCCACTGAGATTTCTCTACTACACCTTCTGCTACTCCTCCAGCAGGTGGCGCGAGTTTCTAACACCGTTTATCGAAACCGAGGCCTCGTTTGACTTTATTAGTCACGTGATTTTCACGTTAACTACACGAGCCTGTAATCGCGGCTTCATCTGGCACGCCCATTTTCTCTCGACACGAGCTCGACGCCTCGGTTCACACGTCACAATCACATCAGTAGAGCTGGTCCTCGAGACTGAGCGGAACCGAAACACACTCGAGCTCAGAGAAAGAGAATCATCGCGATGCGGATTCAGATGCGCCATGAAGCTCCGCGGCTCTGAAGTGTGTGTGTCGCTGCTGGTGTGTGTGTCACTGGGTGAGTCCAGCATTACTGTGTGTGTGTGTGACTGGGTGAGTCCAGCATTACTGTGTGTGTGTTAGTGGCGATAAAGTGTGTGATCCTCTAGTGCTGCTGTAACTCTGGCTTTATCTGGCTTCAGACGTGCAGGGCTGTGTGTGTGTGTCTCAGTTTGTAGTTCAAGTTCATTTTATTTATAGCACCTTTACAACAGTCACTAGGCTGACCAAAGTGCTTTACAAAACAACCATAAGAAAATAAATCCTGCATAACTGATCATAAAACACAAATAAAAGCAGCAAAGCTAAGAGTACTCAGTTTTAAATGATTTAGTAGTGTCAGTAGTGTGCGAGCTCGAAGGGTTATTCACCCAAAAGTAACGTTAGTTCTGCCTTTGTTTGATACTCGCCCCCAGCCTGTCGACGGTGGTCAGGGGGTGTAAACCCGTCTATGGTGTAAACAGTGTAGCGCTTCCGGGTTGTATGCGTCACGTGACCAGTGTCAGAGACTGACGGAAGAGAAGAATGGTTGAATACTTTTTCTCATAACATTAGGGCAGAACTGCAGTTACATGGACTATTTGAAGGATGTATTTACTCATTTTCTGGGTCTTGAGTGTGTTCGTCGCAGTCTATGGAGGAACAGAAAGCTCAATCATCTCGTGTGTTCCGAAGAATGACGAAGGTCTGACGGGTTTGGACCCACATGAGAGTGAGTCATTACTGACAGAAACTTCATCATAACACACACGGTTTCAGTATCCCGGGGGAAAGTGTAGGTCTCGTGTTTTGGTTTCGTGTTGAAAGGGTGTGTGTTTATTTCTCATCTATTCATTAATGCTGTGTTTTTGGAGATATAAAGTACTTTTGTATCTATATACCACACAATTCCTCAACTACACCATTAGCTTGTATATGAAAATATTTTTTTATGATACATTGGATTTATGCTCTAGTACTAGGCTTTCATTTCTGTGTAAAAATTTTCATATTTACGCTGGATTTTTTATTTTTTTATTTTTTTTTTGACGCATGAAGAAAATATATTTAGGTTTTTTTTTCACATTTCCCATTCATTTCAATGTGGGGTCATATTGACCCCGAAGACCAGAAGTGTACACATTTTTTTACATGCTTTCAGAACAAGCGAATCAAGCCCAGTTTGTGTGTGTGTGTGTGTGTGTGTGTATAGATAGATAATGAATGAAAAGTCACAGAATCTTATTCCACTGAGATGAAGGGAACCTTTTCTTTATTAAGTAGAAGTCGATTGGGGTCGTATATAGACCCCATGACCCGATTGAGGGCTACCAGAGACAGATTTATGCCCTATTTTATGGATCATCGATTAAAAAGCTGGCATGAATTAGGTTTGACGCTGGACTTTCGATAGTTGTGTGTTTAGGGACCGTCTCTAAAGATGAGATATTGGTATAAATGTTTTTTAACTTCAATAACATTTGAAGACAATGACTCAGAGTCCTAGACCTACTGTACATTGTTCACCCAGGTCTCAGGTGTGATGATGCACACATTGTAGATTTAAAGCATAATCATTTGATGAATCAAGTGATCAAACCATATCAGACATTTCTCTAGCTCAAACAGTAGTGTTGCGGCAAAATCATGGGTTTGATTCCCATGGAAATTAAGAACTGAATAAAGTACTGAAAAATAAGACTTATCTTGAAATGCAATGCAAGTCGCTCAAACATTGTAGATTATGCTCAGTGACATGAACTTGAATGTTGTGTATCTAATTTCTAGTATTGTACATTTAAATTATGGCGATTTAAAGTCCTGTGAAAAACACAGAGTGGCAAGTGCAACCACAAACTGTATTACTGAAATAAGCAGAATGATATAGTGATGATGAATTATTACAAATATATAGGCCTACCTATTTTCACTACATCACGAACCTCTTAATCATCTGTGACCTCGCATGACCCCCCCCCCCCATGACCCTCTCTAAAACTATAGGAAATGCTTTATTGTTTACTCTTTTGCTGACCTCTGTAACAAAAGAAATATTGCATAAATATTATTAAAAAATAATAAGAAAAAACAAGATAAGAAATATTGAGTTTTATTAATAAAATCTAATGGGTATGTAAAATAAATTATGCAAATTTTCTTCATTCGACTGGTACCATGAAACCCATTATATTAAAGGATTAGTTCACTTTCAAACTATGTTTTGCTGATAATTTACTCACTCAGGAACGTTTTCCTCAAAAACCTTCATTTCTTTTCGACAGACATGGATACGTTGGATGACATGCGGGTGAGTAAATTATCAGCAGAAATGTTTTTTGAAAGTGAACTACTCCTTGAACATATTGTCTTTACTTGTTAGCCGTCACATCATTGTTGTCGTCTGCTAGGAACAGATTAAAAGAGCTCTAAATAAAGTGTCATTATTGTTGTTAGGCCGTAGACTACCACAGCAAACTCATGCAATTGACCTAAGGCTAAGCCACGCCCCCTCCAGACACTCGGACAGGCGGCGGTCACGGCACGAGATGTTTCACAGGAGACAATTTGTTTATTTGTTCATGCCGTTTTACAACATATTACTTCATTTCCATGAACGAAATAAAAGGAACAGGAAGAAGAAAAGATCTTGTAATACCTGTCCCTGTTTGTGCACAGTAAAAGAAACAGAAGACAAAAACAGCTTTATACACTTAATTATCTTCATTTTCCTTGTAACATTCCTGTATTTTTTCTTATACAAATTCTTAAATTTACACACATTTTTGCAACACTTCAGTTCGTAGTCCAATGAGTTTAACTCCGTAAATAGACGAACACATCTGTTTTTGTGTAGTACGTGCAACAGGAGTTTTGAAATGATATTGCCTTCAATGGCTATCCTCCTCTGATACGAGATCAATTGGTGATTTTTGGAGACAGAAATATTATATATCATCTGGAAGTCACCTAAAGGGCATTAACTGTGCATCGGAGGGTTATATTAATAATTGTATTGTTGAGAAGGTTGATGAAAAGCTTCAGCTCCAGGCAGAGATGTACAGGTCACAGTGTAAACGTGATAATCGTTGCCATCAGCGTTTGGTGCTACAGTATTTACATCAATCATCCAGCATTAACATTTGTTATATCGGTTATTTACAGATACCTTAATGAAGCTAAGAGACATGATCAACACAGCTAGAAGCTAACGTTAATGTTTTCTAATGTTAGTCTAATTTTTACATTAGAGATTTTAAAGATAACATTCAAATACGTTGTTGCCTAAACCAGATGTAGACATCCTTGTTTGATTTATCCGTGTTTAGTTGGTGTTGTGGTCTACCGCTTAACTTTATCCAGAGCAGACGCTTATCTCGGGTGAGATGTACACACACCGTCGCCCAACCTCTGGGGAAACTAGTGTCGGAGCTGCATACACCCCATACACACCGTTTGACCATTTTATACTTTCATTTAATTTATTTTTCTATTCTCTTTCCATGGTAATGCAACACAAAATACCACAAGAACAATTTAACAAATCCAACAAACACAACAAAAGTATATTCCATGACAAAAACAACAGGAGTAGGATCAAAAAAATCTCCTAAAACTCCTACCCCATTCACAAAAATAAAAATCACAAATCAGATGGCCTCACCGACATAACATGACCAACACCAACATTTAAAAAAAAAAAAATACATATACAATACGTACTTACACACATATGGATATAGACTAGCCTAGACCAGATATAATCTACTTTCAATTATAACACATTTTTTTCTCTCTTTGTTTATTATTATTATCTATTATTACTAATTCTGCTTACATAATACTGAACAAACAAAAACAACTATGATGCAATAATGACAGATCCAACAACCAAAATAACAGCGAAAACATTATTGTTGTAATAATTGTATCAATTTTTACATTCATTTTTATATAAATTAAGTATTTTTTGTTTATAATTATTTTAAATTGTAGGATATTTGAACAACATTTCTAGAAAATTCCATCTTTTCAGACCAGAAACTGAAAGGGTATTTCCAGCAAAAGGTTGTTTGAAGTCATTAAGACTGGATGCTCACGCGCCGCTCCGGCTCCCGGTGTGAATGCACTCATTGATTACAGTAACTGCTAATAATGCCTTTAGATAGGTACATTTGTTTCTCGACACTTTAAAACATACATTTTTTAAAAAGTTTTTTTCCTCATTGTGACTTTTTTTTAATCTGTCAGGATTTTTTTTTGCAGTAATTTATTTTTAGTAACACAAGTGGAAGTGATAGAAATAATCTACTAAATAAAATGTCTATCTGATTTCTTCAACTGTAACCGTGTGCTTATTCGTATGCTAAAATTTTGCGTACCATACTTAGAAAAGATTGAAAAACGATTAAAAAAAAGTCTATTATACAGTAAATATAGGCTAATCATCTGCGTTTTAGAAGATATAGCCTACAGACAGTTTAGGCAATAATATTTGAGGCAGTGTTTTGAAAGATCATAATCAATAATCAATGCTCCAGTATAGTTCGCTTCCTCTTTGACTGACACATTTCTTTTTCTGTAGTGTTTTACGAGTCCGCTCCCGACATGGGCTGGAAATCGATTCCTTGATTCATGATTTCATGTTTAATTTATTTATAAAGCACATTATAAACAACCTTGGTTGACCAAAGTGCTGTACAAGAAATATCTAGGTCCACCCCCAAAATTAAAATAAACATTCACAAGACATTAAAAGCACAAGAGTACAAATAGAGTTGTAAAAGACTTCATAGATGACGGCAGCTTGTTCCATAGCCTGGGGCCAGCTACTGCGAAGGCTCGGTCCGGGTCTGGGTCAGGGTCAGGGTCAGGATGAGGGTTGGGTTAGGATGAGGGTCTGGGTCAGGGTCCAGTCTGGAACTGGGTCAGGGTCTGGTCCCGGACCCATGCCTCAAGTTTGTGTCGCCAATTAATTTAATTTATTAAATTAAATTAATTAAATGTCAATTAGCCGTCAATTTATTTAATTTAATCTAGTAAATTCTTGATGACAATTAATAAAAATGATTAAGTTAATTCTCAGTTTACTCTAACACAGTCCATGACCTCTTTTATAATAGTAGATAGAAGAGAAGCGAAAGTGTTGCTGATGAAGTAGATGCGGTTTCAGCAGTTTCTCGAGTCCGCAGCTCCTCCTCCTGCAGTCGTGGTAAAGGTCCGAGAAAGAGATCCTGTGCCTCTGAGTTGTTCAGATTGCGATACTAGTCTCGAAACGCCTCCGATACCAATAAAAATGTCTGGTATCGGCGAGTATTTTACCCAAGTACCGATCCGATACCCTTTTCAGGATCAACTATCTCTGGAAGCTTCGTTCAAACGAAGAGAAATGTTTTCAAAAGACCGCCAACGAGCGATAAATATATCCAACAACATCATTGAGTTTATTATTCTGCTGTCAAAACTGAGATGCCGTGTATTTAACCAAAATTGTTTCTGGACTTTGAGTTATAAAGAGGGTTTTTTTCTTTTCTTATATTATTCATATTTCATTCTCTAGATTCCTAGATTTATTTGTTGCACTTTTTTATACAGTTATATTGTAAAGCTAAAATACCTTTTCCAGTTTACAGTATTAGATGTGTGTGTGGCTGCATTTTAAGTTCTTTTTCACTTAAATAATATATTGCTGTGAAATGTATTTGTCACATAATAAAAATACTCTAGTTCACTCTGTATTGTTCATGTAATATTAAGGGATAAGTCTGAATTACACCGTAAAATAATTCTGTCAATTCATGCAGTGCTAGTATGAAGTGCAGCTGTATAGATACACACCCAGGTATCGGATCAGTACTCGGTATCGGCCGATAGCCTGAGTCCAGGTATCGGGATTGGAAAAGGGGTAATGGCACACCTCTACTTTGAGATGGGTTAGGGCGCAGGGTTAGGGTCCGGATCCGGCTGACTACAAAAAACCCATAGACCTGATGTAGCTCCGCCCCTTTTCAGCTCTGTGCTCGTTGTCTTTTGACTTCCAGTCTGTATTTCCACAGCGATCTGCAGAGGAATGAATGAACTGCTCGTAAATAATTTCCCGAGTGACATTTGTTAAGACATCTGCTTTACAACGCTTATGATAAACATTACAGTGCTCATGATAACTTTTGTTAACTCTACAATAAGTAAATCCACTTCACCAGCTAGTTACTCCTTGACAGCGATGCCATAGAAATATACAGAACCGGAAGTTCAAAGACAATATTCTAACGATGACGGCGCCCATGTTTGTGTGGTGCATAAGGTCTATATGCGATCTTTACTAAACGTGTGTGTGTGTGTGTGTGTGTGTGTGTGTGTGTGTGTGTGTGTGTGTGTGTGTGTGTGTGTTAGCTCTTGCAGATGGCAGCGGTCTCCAGAATGTGTCTGTTGTGAGTCTGAACACTCAGTATGTCCTGCGCTGGGCCTGGGCTGACGATCCGCACACGATCAACGGGACGCCCACCTTCACCGCACAGTATCTCTCGTAAGAACACTGCTTTCATACATTACATCATCTTTATTCACATTAATCAGCCAATCCTCTAATTACAGGATTATAATAACAAAATGAAAAATAATTACACAGCCTGGACGGGTCATAAGAGATTTGAGCTTGAGAGAGATATTTTTAATTTCCATCAAATTTCTCATTATCGTAACTGTAATCCAGATGTTTTGTTTTATTCCTTATTTCTGTAACACAAATGAATATCTGCTTAAAGGTAGTACAACAAATACTATTTTGATGTGTAATATAGAATCATTTTTCTAGTAATTTGTGTCATTTTTGCATTATAATAGTAGAAATGTGCTGAGTTGTGCTTGTGCTTTACTGGAGCTCATAATCTTCATTGCCTACACACCCCCAATCATGAAGCCGCTCCTCTTCAGACGCACTAATGTTTGTCCTAATCTATGCAAAGCATGTTCAAGAGTTCATGGCCACAGACGTACGTCATCCAGCCAATGATCATGCACTCTGAGGCGTTATGCTTATATTGTTAGTAAATATACCGACAGAAGCAAGTGACCCTTGAGATGGACGTCGTAGCCATGAGATGTTAACGATGTTTTAATAAGTAAACTCCAGACGGGAGCCGTTCAGCTGTCCGGGGTCACACACTGCTGTACTGCTCCTGAACTCATGTGGTGTTCCTCCAACAGGGCGGTGTATTCCCGCAGGGCTCCTCATAAGCAGGTCTGGAGGACCGTGTGTGCAGATGTCCAGGAGCGGCGCTGTGACTTCACTGACGCTGGACTGAGCTATTGGGGGATCTATCTTCTGCGTGTGCGGGTCAACACGGCACCGCCCTCCGACTGGACCAGCATCACCTTCTGCCCAGATAAAGATGGTGATTAAACCGGTCCGCTGTAATCTGGCCTCGGCTCCTGATGTCTGCGGTGTGACCACAGCTCTGTCCTTCTCTAGCTGATCTAGGTCCTCCGTCCAGTGTGAAGCTGACCTCTGGTGAAGGAGATCTGGAGATCGCCATCGATGACCCTCTGACGAGCAACAACGAGTCCATGAGGACGCTGGTCCAGGACATGCAGTACGTCATCCAGTACTGGAGGCGACCCGAAGGCTATCAGGTATCTGTGCGCTGATGACCACCAGTTACACTGATGAAGGCTGACCCCTGCAGGACACTGGTCTATGCAAACACACCTGCCTGATCAAACACATGATCAAACACACCTGCCTGGTGTTCTCCAGTGTCCTGCAGAGCTTGTTGAGCGGGTTCAGGTGTGTTTGACCTCTGCTGGACAGAGAGTATCTGAAAGGGGCATTCAGTGTGGATAGTGGGAAGCACATTGGTCAACAGCTGTTGTTTTAAATTGTGCTATACAAATAAATCGTCATTGTCAGTGTGGCCTAGTATAAGTCCTGATGTCAGCATCATATCTGAGACTAACTGTATTCAGAAGCTGTTTTAATAGCATGATGACCTCATCCTTCTGATCCTATCGCTTAAAGTACTTTAGTATTTTTTAGAGCCAAACCGATATTATCGGCCGATATTAGGCATTTTCCAAACTATCGGTATCGGCAGTTATAATGGCCGATAAATGAATATTTCAAAAATAAAATAAAAACGGACGAAACACGCTTGAACCATGTCATGAGTGTTGGAGTTGTATAGTTTGTCCACCAGAGGGCGCTCTACACCGTTCCTGTTGGCAACACTCGTTGAGTTGGTCACGATACATACATCGCTTGAATAACAATTAAAAGAACATCCCCATCAGTTCTCTTAACTCAAATAAGCATGACAAAATTTGTGACTATCATGTCCAGTTTAAAAAAATAAATAAAATATCGGCCGATATATCGGATTTTAAAACCCAAAAATATTTGTATTGCTATCGGCCTTCAAAATCCTTTATTGGTCGGGCTCTAGTATTTTTCCACAAACACTGAGGTCTGAATATGATGATGTCACTGGATTGTGGACCATTTAATCCACCAATAATAATAATATAATAATGGTATATATTGGTATATTCCCTCTGTCGGTGTGCAGACGGCTGAAGTGTTGAAGACGCAGAATAACGTGGTGACGCTGTCCGCGCTGGACCGATGGACGTGGTACTGTGTGAGAGTTCAGAGTCGCTATGACTTCTACAACAAGAGGAGTGTCTTCAGTAACACACACTGCGCACGCACCGAAGGTCAGCAGATCCAACACACACACACACACACACACACACACACACACACACACACACACACACACACACACACACACACACACAGTGATACTTCAGGATTTAGCATTAAGCTTTGTATCAGAAAACCGTTTTTCCGAATTAAAAATCAAAGCAAGCCTAGTTGTATCCATTTCTGGATTCTGCCGCCTGTAACCGGTGGGCGTGGTGTGGGAGTGGCCTCGTAAGGGCAGCAAAGCAAGTGCATTCTGGGAGTTGTTGTCTTTCAGCCACATGAGTAAAAAATACATTTTCTGTCTAGAATGCTGCAATTTCAAAAATCATTTCACATTTCTACTATATAAATGACCAATATTAAACACCAGAGCTGAAGTATCCCTTTAAGAAGGGTCATGTATGATTGTTAATAAACCTCATGCTTCAATAAAAGGTTAATGAGCAACCCTCACTCAAATAACGTAATTCTCCTAAACTACATCATTTTATTCAGCAACATCTGTGCCATTCCTAACCTAGCATTCATGGATGATGTCACGTCAGGCGTCAGGTGTCGTGGCTCGTCCCGATGAATGACGGCTGAATGCTGTGTGTGATTTCAGGACTGACTCCATACTGGCAGATCTGTCTGTACTTCCTGTTGTCGCTGGTGCTGAGCTTCCTGCTGGGGCTGCTGCTGTGGTTCAGCTTTTACGGGGTCAAGTTCGTAAAGAGCATCTTCTACCCAAATGTTCAACTCCCGCCTCACATTCAGGAGGTAAAAACATTTATAACATTTATAAACATTGTTGCATGCCATGATATCACAAGGCTTCAATGACCTCTGATTAAAGATGTGTCCGTTCGTTATGCGTAGATATCAACTGTCTGTCAAAATACATTTATTAGATTTCTCCAGGAACGACAAAAGACGCATTTCTGTTGAATCGTAATTAAATTAAGCACATTTTCCTACAATTACCTGTTCTAATTTAGGGCTATGCTAGACAAACATCGGAGATTGATTAAAATAAACTCAATATAACCGAAACAATTAACTGGAGATAACGTATTATTTTAAATAATTTAAAAAGATCTGTCTTCTACTTGTCCTGCATCAACACACTTGATTTAATTATTGGGCGTGTGAGTGGACACACACACACACACACACACACTGGGGTGTTTGATAGGAACGTTAGCTCTGAGCCTGCTTTAATACTACAGTACCTCCTCCCAAACATGCTTGACCAAGCCTTTCTCAGCGTCACTCAGTGCTAATGTCCCAAAGAGAAGGCAGGATGGGCCCCTAACCCGGGTGTGTTAGCCGCGTGTTAGCCGTGTGTTGACCAGGTAGCCGTGTGTTGGCCTTGTTAGCCTTGTTGGTTCGTGTGTTGGCCGCATGTTAGCCGTGTGTTGGCTGCGTGTTAGCCGTGTGTTGGCCGTGTTGTTAGCGGTGTGTTAGCTGTGTTAGCTGTGTGTTAGTGGTGTGTTAGCTGTGTTGGCTGTGCCTTAGCGGTGTGTTAGCTGTGTTAGCCGTGTATTAGCTGTGTTGGCTGTGTGTTGGCCTTGTGTTAGCTGTGTTAGCCGTGTGTTGGCCATTTTAGCCGTGTTAGCTGTGTTAGCGGTGTGTTGGCCATGTGTTAGCTGTGTTAGCGGGGTGTGTTGGCCTTGTGTTAGCTGTGTTAGCGTGTGTTGGCCTTGTGTTAGCTGTGTTGGCCGTCGTGTGTTGGCCATGTGTTAGCCGTGTTAGCGGTGTGTTGGCCTGTGTTAGCTGTGTTGGCCGTGTGTTGGCCATGTGTTAGCCGTGTTAGCGGTGTGTTGGGCCTTGTGTTAGCTGTGTTGGCCATGTGTTAGCCGTGTTAGCTGTGTTAGTGGTGTGTTGGCCATGTGTTAGCTGTGTTAGCGGTGTGTTGGCCTTGTGTTAGCTGTGTTAGCGGTGTGTGGCCTTGTGTTAGCTGTGTTGGCCGTGTGTTGGCCATGTGTTAGCCGTGTTAGCTGTGTTAGCCGTGCTGTGTTGGCCGTGTGTTGGCCATGTTAGCTGTGTTAGCTTGTTAGTGGTGTGTTGGCCTTGTGTTAGCTGTGTTGGCCGTGTGTTGCCATGTGTTAGCCGTGTTAGCTGTGTTAGCCGTGTGTTGGCCATGTTAGCTGTGTTAGCTGTGTTAGTGTGTGTTGGCCATGTGTTAGCGGTGTGTTGGCCTTGTGTTAGCTGTGTTGGCCGTGTGTTGGCCATGTGTTAGCCGTGTTAGCTGTGTTAGCCGTGTGTTGGCCATGTTAGCTGTGTTAGCTGTGTTAGCTGTGTTGGCCGTGTGTTGGCCATGTGTTAGCCGTGTTAGCTGTGTTAGCGGTGTGTTGGCCATGTGTTAGCGGTAGGGATGGGTACCGAAACCCGGTATTAAACGGGCCCCGGTACTGAATTTTGAAAGACCGCTGTATCGATAAGCTCGGACGTTATCGGTTCTGCTGTCGGTACTGGAGAAATTAAGTAAATACACGTAAGTTGGGCTACTATTTATTATTCCTATAAAGAAGTTATCTTGAACATGTTTCGCCAGCCATTTCTATATATAAGCTATATTTTAATTAAACCATAGTCTGTGATGCAAATTTGCAATTCGCACTTCAGAAGAGAGAGAGAGAGAGAGAGAGAGAAGAGAGAGAGCGATCTCTCACGCAAAGCCACAGCACGCGCAACACGACAGTGAATGCTTAATGATGAGTGACAATGAGGACAGAACTAACATTCAACGTGGTTACACTTTAGATCTGGATATTATTCTAATATATTTTGTATTTTGGCTTCCAAAGATTATAAAAAGAAGATATTTGAGATTAAACCGTTAAAAAACAAGACGATCTGTCCGGCTTAACTTCCTTTACTTCACAGCACTGCGGAGCGCTGTCAGTTCTTCCTAAAACCCAAACGTAACCGTCAGAATCAGCAACATCAGCGATTGTTGCAAAAATGCTGTCTTCTACTGTTGCAAGATCAAAAAATGGCTATTAAAAACACAAAAAACCTGCGCAAGAGACGCTGTTCACAAAGCGGTGCACGCTCCGAAACGGACTGCCTATACTTGGCTCGTGCGTCCTTAACTATCAACAGTGTTGGGAGTAACGCATTACAAAAGTAATACATTACAGTAACCTTTACTTTTTGCTGTAACGCAGTAGTGTAAGCATTACTAATCAATTTCAGTAATATTTTTACTCGTTACATGTTCAGTGAGGCTTGTATTACAGTTGTATTACAGTGTATTGTCTGCTTTTACTTCTTAAAAGCAACAGACTATGTGAAAGTTTTAAGCAGTCTTTTAGTGCCAGTTCAGAGCGCGCGTCGCGTCTGTAACATTGTTTTCTCATAAATGCGAACACGAAACTAAAATAAAATGAATATTTTAAGTTCTATGGAGACTGGAGAGCCAATCCTTCCTCATCGATTTGCGCAGTGTAATTAACAGAATTACAAAAAATATATGCCTCCTATTTTTTGTCACGCATGAATGTGTGTCTTTTCCTAATATTAAAAATAAAACATAGACTGATATTTGTCTAATGTCTGGAGTCCTTCAAGTAAGTAGACCTATACATGAATTTTCTGAGAATTTTTATTTCAATTTTGACTGCAAATGTCATCATGTCCATAATGCTGGACTTCCCCAATTTTAAATAATTTATCCTCAACTAGTTTGTGGTGTAGGTCTACGTATTTTATAATGTTAACTTCAAATAAATACTAATAGCCTAATTTAAAGATAAGGCAGCATTGGATATGGACGGTAAGGAGAATAACGCTTGAGTTGGAAGAGGTGTGTCGCGATTCTGTAGGTTCGTGGAGCTGATGTGGCGAATCGCGATTTCGGTTCATATTGCATATCGTTAGAAGCCCCAAAGTTAAGTTCTACTTAGTTATTTTGGTGAAAGTAACTCAAAAGTAATACATGAGTAATGTAACGCATTACAATTCTGAGACCAGTAATATTGTAAGGTAATGAAATTACTTTTAAATAACAGTAACAAGTAATACCTAATGTATTACAGTTTGGAAGTAACTTGCACAACACTGACTATCAAATTACATAAAAATGTCAAAATGACCAGCTTGAGAATTAACTTAAACTCAGTTTATTCACTTAA